TCTGTGTGTATCCATGTGTGTATCCCTGTGTGTGTGCACAGCCCCAACCCTCCATGTGCCCGAGTTTCTGGTGTCACCACCCAGGTGGCTCCCAGTGTCCCTGTGTGAGTCCCACCAGGGATGCTGGGCTCCAGGGAGGATCAGGATGAAGCTGGAGCCAGGAACGAGGGAGGAGCAGCAGTGGCTGAGCAGCCTCAGGAGGCTGGAGCAGGGCCAGGAGAGGCCGAGGAGGCAGTGGGGACCAGGGGACAGGGGTGTCAGAGGCTGCAGGGGGTGTGGAGGCCGGGGCTGTGCACTGATGTGACGCTGTCGTCCTTTTTCTGCCCCTCATCAGAGTCCCCTGAGCGGAGCAGGCTGTGAAGGGGGGCTGCCATCAGGTATGTCCGTGTGGCTCCTGCCAGGATGTCCCAGTTGCCAGGAGGAGCTCCCGTGGGTGCCAGGGATGCAGTGTGGGCACAGGCCCCAGCCCCCAGCTGAGGGTTTGGGGAGCATCACTGGGGGCTGGTTTAGGGCAAGATGTGCTCACACAGTGGTTGGCTGCTGACTTCACCCCTTTGTCCATGCCGGTGTCAAGCATTCCCAGCATTGTCTGGAGCCTTCTCCTGCATCCTGTGTGTGAAAGCTGTGCCAGGGTGACTTGGGTGTGTGGCAGTCCCAAACTGGTGGCAGGAGGGAGCGTTGGCCAGGGCAGAAATGCCACCGTGGTGCTCTGGTTTGCTTCTTCCCCGAGCTCAGGGAGTGCCTGTGCATCTGCCCTGCTTTTGGGATGAGGGAATCGTGTGGACCAATGTGTGTCCCATGTGAAGGGGGTGCTCCACATGTCTCAAGTCCCCAGAGCTCCTCAGCATCTCCCTCCATCAGTCTGTCAATGCAGAGAGCTCCACAGTGGTGGAGACATGGAGAGGATTTCTGGGAACCACAGGGACATCTGGAAGTCTGAGCAGCCTCAAGGTCATGAGCAGCACCTGCTTCCACCCCAGCATCAGCACCAGACTGGATCTGCTTGTGGCAGCAGGCAGTCACATGTCCTGGGGCACTCTGTGATGTCCCAAATTTGGGCAGAAATCAAGGAATGGCTCGTGACTGGGATGGCTCTGGGAGGGACACTCAGCTCTGCATGGAAGTGCCAAATTCCAACCTCAGAAGCCTCATGACAGGTGCTGCCTGTGCCAAGGACACCTGGCCAAGGCTCAGGGACACCTGGGGCAGGGGGTGGCTGGTGTGTGAGGACACCAGTATGTGAACTGGTCTAACTGGTGCTCATTGTCTGGCTGTGCCAGGAGCAGGGAGCTGTGGTGCCCTGTGGCGCCCTGGGGTGCTGGGCTCCCTCAGGGGCAGGGATTTGGTGCACGGGACACCCCTGGCATCTCCACAGGGCACCCCACGGCATCTCCAGCCTCTCTCGGGGTGGGCATGGCTTTGCCTCAGTGTGCTTGGGGGTTGCAGGCTCCACAGGAGACCAGGACTTCTGGCTGAAGGGTGCCAGGGGAGGCTGGAATGTGGCCTGGAATGCCTGGTGGGAGCAGGGCAGGGATGCCCAAGGATGCTGCCCAGGACACACAGCGGTGCCTCGGAGCTGAGTCCAGGGCAATTCTGTCTCTTCACAGTGATGCCATGGGATGCCACTGGTGGTGCCCAATGGGAATTCCTGGAGCTTAGCAGGTTCCAGGTGGTGCCTCAACTTCTGGGATCACAAGCCTGGTGTGGCAGCGTGTCCTGCCATGCAAATCCAAGCTGTGGAGCCCCCCTGTGCAATCCTGGTCTCCTGAGGGGCTCGGGGAGCTCTGCCCTGTGCTCTGCCTCCTGTGGTTTCTCTGTGGCTTTGGGTTTCCCTCCCTGCTCTGCTTTGCTCCTGTTTTTTTGTCTGTGGGTCCAGCTCCTGGGTGTCCATGTGTCCAGCTCCTGGGGTGTCCATGGGTCTGGCTCCCAGGGTATCCATGGGTTCAGCTCCTGGGGTGTCCGTGGGTCTGTCTCCCAGGGTGTCCATGAGTCCAGCTGTCCCTCCCAGCACGGGTAGGACAGAGATGTCC